TAGTGAGTAAAAGAACAAGAAAACTCGTAAAAGCACTACATAAATGCAGTGCGAAGCAATCTCAATTTTTGGTAATAGAGTACGGAACTTACTGGAGATATAAAGAAAATTTCTATTGACGATTAAAAGAAAACTTTGTATTAACTCGAGACATCGATTTTTCTGACAAAGTTCGAACGAGTTTCTAACGACTCAAAAGAAAGCTGATTATATATATTTATTTATCAGAAATGCAGAATCACGTTTTACAATTATACATTGAATATTAAATAAAAGAGAACAAGAAACGATTTTTCCGATTGTAATTTATAAAAATTGACACTGTTTCTAGTTCATATAGCCAATAGATTAGAACCAAACAGAACGGTATTTCAAGGTGCTGGATTACATGGATATACAGATTTAATTTGTCCATCTTTTTTGACATGAAATAATTGTGAAGTATTGTTATCCACAACAACCCATTCATCACATGTCAATGAAGAACAACGTATTAATGGTTGACCAATTGTATGTGAAATATTAAGGTCAAGTAACCAAAGCCGATCGAGTGTTATTGATGAACAAAGTTCTAAATGTACAATACTAGTGGTAGAATGTGAAATAACTAAAGCAAGTGTTTTATTTTTATATGCAGTATTAAGCCTAACTTCATAATGTTTACATGAATGTGGAGGTTTCCATCGTTTTATCAAAGCAAACGAAGATAAAAGATTAAATTCAAAAATATTTGTTCCTTCTCGACGTACAGTTAAATAAAAAGATGTATCAGAACATGTACAAGATGACCAATCTTGTTCTTCAATAGTTTGAACAAGTTCTGTTGCTAATGTTTTTTCATTAATAAGATAAATTTCACGAGTTCTAGTTGTTACAATAAAACAATTTAATGTTGATGACCAACACATATCACGAATAAAATCGAATTTCCATGGAGATCTTTTAATTATTTCAAGTTTTTGATTAATTAAACATAAATTTGGATGTCGATCTATCAATAAGTATCGATTATTATTAGCAAGTACGGGTCCCCATTCACCTGAACAATCAATTGTTCGATAAGATATTGTAAGATTTACTAAATTACATTTATTTGGTTCAAATTCTTCAATAAAAATCAAACTATCATCTATTGTTAATGGACGGATTTCGAGTTGTAAACGTGTATTTTCAATAGTTTTTATTTCATCCTGAATATGACAATTAGCTAATGTTGTTAAATCAATATGTCCTTGATTGATTTCTTTTTGACGTATGAGTTAAGTCATTTTTGAACGTATTTGATTTAATTGTGTTCGTTGTTCATCAAGTTTTTCTAAACAACGTTGATCAAGTTCATGAATTTTTTGTTCGTATAATTGATTTATTATTTTACAACAATTATCCCGTCATTGAACAAGTTTTTGACGACAATCATCAATTAATTTGTCTGTATTTGATGATTTGAGTTGTTCATCCAATTTATTAAATTCATTAATTAAAGGATTCAATTGAGGATTATTCAAATCATCATGTTATTTTAAATGATCATGACAAAGACTTTTATTACAACATGAACATATCGAACGTGATTTACGTTTACATTTTTCTATGGCACATGTTTGAAGCATTGTAATAACTAAAGAAAAAAAACGCGAAAATATTTTATATACGACCAGTTGGAAGTTATTATATAAAACAGAATAGATGAAGTATTATTTCAAGCTCACTAAACAAATATAAATTGTTCTATGAAAAAATCAACGAACGAATAGCGTCGCTTCTTGAGGGTGTGGGTGTCGGTGTGAGTGGTAATTACCTACTCACAGCCAAACCCATACCTACACCACCCACACCCACACTCACATCCACACACCCACACCTACCCTCATCCACCCCTCACCTACACCCACCCACACCCACACCCATCCTTCGAAACTACTCAACTAAATTTGTTTTCTTGAATTAAATTCAAGTCATGCGACAAATTTTTCATATCGAAGAAAAAAGTAGATACGCCAGGCGGTCTGGCCTACCTGTCACAGGCAGGCCTAGTGATCTGGTTGGGATCTGAAACCTATCTATAATATCTTAATAAGTTTCGATAATAAATTTCATAGGTATTTTGTCACAAATGATATATTATCACATAAAGAGACATTTGAAGCTCATTCATTACGTGTTGAGCATGGCAATAAATCTTATCTATCATTCTTGTTATGTTCTTTGTTTGACCAATCCGAAAGAATTACCTTCTCTATAGTTACCTTATTTGAACAAAAGATATGCATCTTCATAAACTTCAATTAGTAAATATAAGATAATTATTGTGATATGATTTTATTTGAAAATAATAGGATGGAGCAGTCAATCGATCATAACCGTTTCTACAACAATATAGAAAAACTCATTGAGATGTAATGCATGTTATAGATTGACTTTATAACCTAACTTTAACAAATGCATTTAAGTAGAAGACATCATATTTTTCTCAATAGTAAGTAACTCATACAGACAACCAAGACAAGTAAAAAAGAAAAACGAATACAATGAAGTATTTTTCGTATCTGTCGATAAAGATCGTTCGTTCATCTAATTTTCGGTCTTGACAAAAAAATCGATCATAATAAAAGTATAATCGTCAATATTTTGACTTATGTTTTCCATGGTTCACGAATTAGACAACGTATTTGAATCTTTGAGATAGACTTTTTTATCAAAAGCTTTCCATAATAGTAGTAGAACACAGTCAGAAGTTCATAATCAATCAATTTTGTATCAAAAGATAATTTCAAAAAAAAATTTTTCTCGACATTGACATTGATCACTACTCATCATTAATATATACGAATCCTTTTTTTCACTCATTCATTATTTTTAAGGCTACAGAAAGTAAATTCAAAAATTTCCTTCTTTTTTTATTTCTTTCTTTTTATACTTATTCATCAATAAAGACACAAACGACAACAAGAACAATCACAACTGTTTATGATGGTGAAGATGCTGATGCTTGTTTTTCAGCTGCTTTTTGCAGGGCTATGACCGATAGGTCATGGAGTTGAGCCTTGGTCAGTTTTGGCGATTGAAGGAGTAACATCATCGCCGCATATGTTGTTGTCTCTGGAGCAACGGCATATGATAGTGGTGATTAGTTTTGTTCTTGTTGAGATCGTGTTGATGATGTTGACCGCTGCAAAAAAAAAGACTGTCATATTGTGGTATATTTGGCATGTATTAAATAAGAACCTTGACCTTAAAATCACGACTATAGCAGCGACATATTTTTTTCCAGAGAAAAGTTGGCAACGATAGGATGGATGTACGATTATATATGTCGATAAGTAAACTAGGGGAAGAGGGTGTGGGTGGGTATGTGTGGGTGTGGGTGTGGGTGGAGTGTGCGTGTGTGTGAACGAGAAGAACAGCAACCCACACCCACATCCACACCTCGTAACTACTATTATAGAAAGTTTTTATTCATGTTCATTTTCACGTTCAGTAAAAAAAAAAGCGAAAAGAAACTGACTGAGAACAGTGCATGCATTGTATGGTATTGGTGTTTGTAATCTTATTTTCTTTGTGATTTCTGTTTTTTTTTATTTCCATGTATGATGGATTCTACATTGGATTCCATGGCTTGATCATAATAGAAGCTATGCTGCAAAAATTTCACAAGTATTGTCAGACTCAACTTTCATCAGGTGAAACTATCAAGTTTTTGTCGGAAAAAGCTAACTCTAGAAGGAGATCAATCATAATCTCCAGAAACTATGTACGAACTGAATTCTATGTATGTTATCTGTTTGAAATACGTTAGATCCTACAAGCTTAGCAGAAAAAAAGAATTAAAAAGAACTTTTATTGTTACAAAACGGTCAAGTAGTAAGAAAGACTATATTATACTGTGTCATACAGAAACAGATAAATTTTTCTAAAAACCCCAAACCTAAATTTAACTTCCAACACATAATTGGCCAGAGTACTCTTTATGATATAAAAGTGATCATTAAACGTGTCTTTTCTGATATAAAAAAAAATAAGCAGAAAATAGAAAATAACATAGTGGAAGAATAAGTCTGATCGGAAATTTGTAGTTCAAATTTTCTCTTTTCAACAAAAAATTATTTGGTTTAGAAGTTAGCAATATGGTCTAATATAGTTTGAAGTTTGTAGAAAGACTTTTGTGTGGCATGTTAGTTCTCGATAGAAAAATGATGCACTACTTTAAAGTATAGCCAGTTCGGCACATAAATATCATCCATAGAAGAACATTCACGTTTGTCATCAGAAAATAGACGAAAAGAAATGAAATTCATGAGTAAAGGTCACATTCTTTGCTGCCGTAACAAAAGTTTAAGCTAGAATCATCTCGGAATATAGTTGTTATTCTACAGTAGAAGATCAGATTATTTCATTCTATTTTTCTTTATATTAATTGGAAGAATCATTGGTTCTTGTTTACAACTAAGATGGTTTCATTGTGTTTCACATATCAATTCTGTCGAAATTGCACTGAAAATGTTTTCTTGATATGGGGACCCAAACAGGTGATTCCATTTCTCATGAGCTCTACGCTCATCGAACTTACTGCTACTTGGATTTTTTCTCTGAAAACGTATGAAAGACGATATCTTTAAAATATCTATTGACGATGAGGTTGATTCATCACAACAAGAATCAGTAACTAGAGTAGATATGCTCAGTCTGAACAGTGATTACAAATAGAAATATACGAAACAAAAATCTAAAAGATGTGAATTACAATTACACATCTTTGCAGAAAAGAACAATTGAGATTATGTTAGAGAATATGATTTCTTAATGATGAACTAGTCAATTCTTAACATAGGTCAGTGTTCAAATAATTATAATGAAAAGGAATAAATGATTAAAGACTATTTGGCTTAGTTGTCATGCCTTTTTTTATATGGTCGAGAAGAATATCGAATCTGAAGACAATAATATTGAGCGTTGGTGGTGTAACGGTTAGCATGGTTGCCTTCCAAGCAGCCGACCCGGGTTCGACTCCCGGCTAACGCACAGTTTCTTTTTTTTATTATTAATGTATCATTTCATCTTCGAAATAAATTCTATCACTGGTTATAGAATTTATTGTCCAATTATGAGAAAAATTCGGAAAATTTATTTTCAGAACTGAACTACTTCGACATTCTTTCATGATAATCTTCTGCATACTCACCCTCCTCTCAAAAAAAAGATAAGCTTTTTGCCGTCTTAACCAATTAAAAAAGCTTTTATTAGAATTAGTATGAGGTTAAACTATGCATAGAGAACATCTTATCACTACGTTAGATTTCAACCTTGCGCGAATTTCCATTAAAAAGTCATAAAAATTTAATAGAAACATCGATAGTTAACAATATGACTTTATAGTCAGAATGTGATAGTAAAAACCTACTCAAAGTTTTCTTGAGCCCAGCACACTGTTTAAAAAGAAGATTTGTGCTTGTAACAAAGCATTTTTTAGCATTTCAGAGAAATGTGTAGTTTCTGAAGAGAAATCCTAAATAATTTTTGAAAACAAATGTAAAAACATGATATAAAAGCAAAAAACTAGAGATCATTTAGCTTAAAATGTTTTTTATTACTATTTTCCCCTATTTCAAACATACTATAGTATATATTTTTGAAACAAAGGTTATTTATAGAAATGGGTGAATGCTCTTTTCAAGACTACCTAATATCTTAAGAACCTTATAAGTCATCTAGAGAATTACTTAAGATGAACAGATTCAGGATGAAAGTTTACTGAGTCTCTTTCGAATTATAGATCAAGCTCGATGATCTGACTTTACCTTTAACTATGTGGAGAAACGATCGATTCACAAGAATCTATTGCAATCAAATAATGGTTGGGAATGTTTGATACAAAAATGATAGCAATGCACAAACGTTCTTCGGAAGGCATCCATGAAGACCGTGTGGCAATTCTTTTTAAGGAAATAGTATAAATTGAGTAGAAAGAAATGCCATGACATGATTCCATTTCAATCATTTGTTTTACTCTCTTATTTGAAATGTCAATTAAAATCACTATACAATGATAGATAATTACAGAAAACAATCATTCCATAGCAGAGAAACACAATAAGACAAAAGAAAAACTAAAGAAAAACATTTTTATTTTATGGTACTGATCATTGTAGAGTTTTCTTTCTTCAACAAAGACACTAACTATGCTTCATAATTTTGAATAAATCAAACTGACTGCATTAGATGAGATATTTACTCTTGCTGCAAAATACATATAATGATAGAAGTTAAAGAAACAAAAACACTATGCGCTCTATAAACAATGGTAGTGGGAATCTTCTTGATTACCCAATTAAAACAATGGAAGATGCTTCGATAACTTCGTACTAACAAAATTGACATTTTCAGTGAAAATTTAAAGGCACAAAGTAATATTTGTAAAGAGTTTTTTCTGACCGTCCCTTATACATGACTCTTCGTGGAATTCGATTCTCCCAGATGTGATGTCATAATCCGATGAGGGTGGACATCAAACAGAAAATTATGTTGATTCCTAGTCGGTGCCTTTCTTGCTCCAATGGTCAATAAACAATTGACTCTTTTAATTCATCTAGTCTGAGCATCAACGATTTGGGTCAGAACAAAGTTGGACTTCGATACGATCGAGAAAAAAAAAGTAGAATCCATTCGAAAATTATACAGAACCATGAAAAAAATATTGTGATGGATCCAGAATAGGTAACAATCATCATATTGGTTACGTCAAAGCTAGGTGTCGCATATAAACAATATCTTATTTATTCCATACTTTTTGGATACTGCTCATTGAATCGAAGAGATTTTTCGTATTCGTGTCTTGTTTCATTGAATATAAGTTCAATAATTCATATCTGTCAAATAGAAAATGCTCGTACGATTGGTCTGCAAGATATAATCACAAACATCGAGTCTATTTGCATTTCTGTCATATGTAATTTCATCATTACAAAGTAATATTGAGCATAGCAGTCGCATGGAGAATTGTTCTTTTATTCATTGAAGTTTCATCGTCAGAAGGTAAGACTGAAATATGCCTGCCGCCGATTCTACATTTAGAGTCGAATATGCAAAATCTGATCGATCAAAATGCAAAAGTTGTCAATCAACGATCGAAAAAGATACTTTTCGATTTGCAATTATGGTTCAATCACCAAAATTTGATGGAAAAGTCTGTCATATATACTATTCAAAAAAAAAAGCAAGATAAAACACACACACACTTTTCTTCATTAGGTTCCCACTTGGTATCATACGGATTGTTTTTTCAAAAAAGTGAAATTAATTGATGTGAAAATTATCAAAGGTTTTGATGATTTACGTTGGGAAGATCAAGATACAATTCGTAATATCATTCAAGAAAATTCTAAAATACTATCCAGTAAGTTTATATTCGATATTTAGCAGAGCTAATTTTTGCGAATTTTGAAAAACATAGATTTGGATATGTATTTTTATATCTGAGATTTGTTGAACTTTTTGAAAAAAACAAGACTTAAAATCCTAGATCCTGTCATATGATCATAATAAACGATGTTTCTATGTGACTTTTGCTTTACAATAATTGTTGTTTATATGTGATATTGCTAATATCACATGCATTATATATATTAATTTCTATTAATGAAAAAATCCTAAGTTGTTTAGGAACTATTTGTGAAAATAAAATGACTGGGCTTGCAAATCGTTCTGTTTGCTTATCATTCTTTTTAGTCACGCTTAGCTGAGCGAGAAAAAAAATGATTCTAGTGCACAAATTTCTGATTGTTGTCTATTCGTTGTTTTTCCTAGATCACATGATTCTTTTATTTTTTACATGAATCATTCTTTACCAAGCATTCATAAAAGCGTTTAGAATCGATGCGACTGGAAGAGGGGCTCATTCCTCCTTCATGATTCTAGACAATTTTTGTCTTCGACAGAGTACTGACTCCGATAGTTTTATCCCTTCGATCCTATCTGTTTCATATTTGGTCACAAAGCGAAGTGTTTTACAGTAGTTCATTACAACTTCTCTTAAGTTATAAGATGTTATTCTTCTTGAAAGGTATCGATTTCGAACTTTATAATTGGTCATATATTTCAAACTTTCGATGTCCTCAATACTAATGAACAGTTCGGCAGTTTGTATGCTAAAAATCAGTTTCTCAAAATACCCTCTAAACCATCACAGACACTTTTGGACTTCATATGCATTCATTATCTTAAATCTAAAATCTTGACATTCAACAGTCCATTATAACACGTCCATATATATGTCATGCATGTGAAGAATTAACTGTTCTCGTTACATACTTGAATATTCATTAACAATTGTATTTTGCATTAGATCTATTATTGTGGAATTGACTAGATCTCTATTAGTCTGTTTTAGTCGATTTTTTTATAGTTCCTTTTTCTTATATCTACGACACTAACACTAGAATATAAAAAAAAGGAAACTTTTCTGCTCTCAACTGGATCTTTATGAATAGATGATTTTCTTATTTTAATTAAAATGACAATTCGATAGAACATTTATCTTTCTAATAGATGAAAATGATTCGAACAATACATTTTCTGTTCAATATGCTAAATCCAATCGAAGTACATGTCATGGTTGTCACATATCAATTGATAAAGATACCTTACGTTTATCAAGAAAAAACTATACAAGTAGAAGGGCACGACGTTATGGACCAACTGATGAATGGTATCATGTGAATTGTTTTAATCAAATGAAAAAAGATCTTGGATTCTTTGGTACTGCTGAATCGTTTGTATTCTTTGATTGAATTTATTTCTGAAACAAAGCTTTTTTTTTACTACTTGTTTATTCAAGATTTTTCGGTTTTGTTGATTTGAATGACGAAGATCAAGTGGAACTTAAAGAGAAATTTGGTACATCGACTAGTTCAAAACGAAAGCGTAAAGGTGAAGTGATGAACAATGAATCAACAAAAGCAAAACAAGCAAAAGTTGAAGATACATCATCGGAAACTTCGAATGAACAAGAAGAGACACGTCTCAAAAAGGTTGTTGACTTTGTAGTCATATTGGAGAATTTATTTTCGATGATTCTAGGAACAATGTGAACTACTATGGGCTTACAAAGATGAGTTGAGAAAAGAAATTCCCAATAGTGTTCTAAAAGAATTACTTGAATTTAATGCACAAAAGTCTGTTTCTGGAGAATCAAATGTAATTTGATTAATATCCTTGAATCATGAATTATTTTAATCAATCATTTTAGTTAATCGATGCCGTGACTGATTGTATGGCATTTGGTGCACTTGAACCATGTCCTGAATGTAATGGTTGTCTTGTTTTCAAGTAGATCATTTTATCTGTTTGTCAAGATTTTTCTCTGTCAATTTCGATATTTAGTTATACAAATTATCGTTGTACAGGCAATATTACCGAATGGACAAAATGTTCTTATTCAACAAAATTACCTCAACGAAGATCATTTGAAATTCCAGATAAAATCAAAGAAAACTACGACATATTGTAAGTTTTCTTATTCATAAAAAGTAATATATTTCATTTATTTTGTAGTCAAAACTACAAATATTCAAAACAAGATCGAATCATCACACAAAGCAACGAGAAACCAAAGTTGATGAATAAAATATCTGAGACTAAAGAGTAAATCATTTTTTGCTAATAGAAATTTTCGTTTCATAATGTTATTCTAGACCTGATTATGATCCGAAATTACCTCTTAATGGTTATTCAGTTGCATTACTCGGTCGTTTATCAAAGAGAATAAGAACTTTACAAAAACAAATCGAACAATTAGGTGGCACAATTGCTACGACTATTGACAAAACAGTCGATGTGATCATTAGTACACAAGGTTATTTCTAATTTCCATTTAATTTTATTCGGTTATTTTTATTATGATTGTCAAATAGATGAAGTACAAAAAGGAAATAAAAAAATTCAAGATGCACAAACATGCGAAATTCATATTGTTCCAGAACAATTCTTGGATGATATACTCAATGATCGACCATCAATTGTGATGGAAAAATTGAAAATATCAACATGGGGTATTTTACCACATATTCGAAAACAACAAGCTTATGAAAAGAAAAAAACAAGACAAAAATCATCAACCACATTTAAATCTGTCGGTGAGTATATTATTCGGATCGTTTCGAGCATCGACTTTGAATCTTTGTCATAGCTCGATTAAAACAATTCACACCAGAAAAAGTTACTATGAAATTAAAAGATGGTGCTGCAGTCGATCCTGATTCTGGTAAGTTTCAGTCAGTTCAAGCTTTACAATTTTCAAATCCTATCGTAATCTTCATTTTTTAAAATATTTAAAATGCTTTTACAAAAGCAAAGTTTACAGTCATGAGAATAAGTTTAGTTCTCTTTATCTAACTGATTGGGTATGTAAAGTAAATTTTTTTTAAATATGTTTTTATTGCTATTAATTCAATACCTGTTGACAACTGTGAATATGATATGGTTTCGTGGTTCACAATGTTTTTATAAGCTGTCAAAAATGTTGAACCAAGTGCATAAACGTTAGAGTTTGCAATATCAAGGCTAGACTGATGTCTAGGTAGAATTGAGATACTATTAACATACACTATGCATAAAGACCTGCATTTATGTTTTATTTGAATAGCATTCCGCAGCAAAATTGAAATATCAATGATTTAGTTTTGATTTGTTGCAATAGACTTTGAAATATTTTCGAGATCTTCTCTGCAAACTAAGTCAATGAAATAGATGATTTTACTTATTGTAGGACTCGAAGAAACGTGCCACGTATTGAAAGATAGCGAAACTGGTGGCATTTTTGCAGCAGTACTCGGTATGGTCGATATAACCTGTGGCACTAATTCATATTATAAAATTCAATTACTTGAAGATGATAGTGACAAAAAATGGTTTCTTTTTCGTGCATGATAAGTGATTTTCTAGAAAAATTTTATTGAATGAATCAATTTTGCTTTTCTTCGATTTTCTAAGGGTCGTACTGGTACAACTTTTGGTGGTAAAAAAATAGATGAATATGATGATCAATCTGAAGTGATCGATGCATTTCATCGAATATTTTTCGATAAAACTGGTAATCAATGGATTGATCGAGAAACATTTAAAAAAATGCCAAATAAACATTATCCATTAGAAATCGATTATGGACAACATGGTGATAATGATCAAATACAAAAAATATTGAATGATCCAAATGCAAAAAATCATTCTAGTCTTCCACAATCTGTACAAGATCTAATTCGTTTAATTTTTAATGTTGAGACAATGGAAGAAACATTACTATCATTCGAAATTGATCTAAGAAAAATGCCTTTAGGCAAACTTTCACGTAATCAATTAAATATGGCATATCAAGTTCTCACTGAATTACAAACATTAATTACTAGTGGCTCAACAAAAAAAACATCTATAATTGATGCTACTAATCGATTTTATACACTTATTCCACATAATTTCGGTCTTAGTAAACCGAAACTTCTTGATAATATCGATTTAATTCAATCAAAAACACAAATGATTGATAATTTACTTGAAATTGAAATAGCCTATTCAATGTTAAAAGGATCGATAGATGAAAAAGATGAACATCCGATTGATGTTCATTATAAAAAATTAAAATGTATAATTGAACCTATCGATAAGAATACGGAAGAATTTAAACAAATTGAACAATATATGATTAATACACATGCATCAACACATAATACATATACATTAAAATTGAAAGAATTATTTAAAATAATACGCGACGGTGAAGATGATCGTTTTCGAAAATGGGAAAAAATTGAAAATCATCAATTGTTATGGCATGGTTCAAGAATAACGAATTTTGCTGGAATTCTCAGTCAAGGATTACGTATAGCTCCACCCGAAGCACCAATGGTCAGTTAAACCATCAATATGGCACTCTCTTTTAATAGCCAAAGCGTTTCTCAATATTTAAAAGTCAGATTTCTCATCTGAAACCATTCTTAAAAACAAAAATAGATGTAGAATAACTTTAGAGGTTTGGACTCTTAATTAAAATGAAAAAGTCAAATCTTGTGATTTCCAATGTAACAAGTTTCAGAACAAATATACAGGTGGATGCTCTCTAATATGACTGCGAGTAATCTTCGTTGTAAAGCAGTTTTAATAATAATTATCTCCGTCAGATTAGAACAAGAAAAAAATGTCAAACGTCTCTTTTTCACAATGAACAGTTCACGTTAAATTCTCTCATCATCAGCAAAGATACAATCAATCAGATTTCATTGTAAAAAAACGAAAAATTCTAATTCGTTTCTTATTTATTTTAGACAGGTTACATGTTTGGTAAAGGTGTCTATTTTGCTGACATGTCTTCGAAGAGTGGTGAGTTCTTTTTTTCTTTGATCTAATGGATAGTTCTTCGTTAATAATTTAGCAAATTATTGTTTGCCAAAAAGAGAAACACCCGAAGGATTAATGCTTTTATGTGAAGTTGCTCTCGGTAAAATGTACGAATGTTATAAAATGACAAATCTTTCGGCAGAAAAATTGCCCGTTGGTACACAATCGGCCAAAGGTTGTGGACAAACAATTCCTGATCCAAAAAGTAAACGAAAACAAATTTTTTTTCTCAACAAATATCAAAGATCTTTATTTAGAACACTATTATACGGATGATGGAGTCCTCGTTCCAATGGGTCTTGGTGTTAATGCAAAACTTCCACAAAGTTCACTATTGTACAATGAATACATCGTCTATGATACTGAACAGATCAAGATCAAATATCTTCTACGTATTGAGTTTAACTACAAAGATTGAACTGTCGTTATTTACATTTGTTCATCCTTTTTTTGAAAAATAAATCCTAATTTCATAAAAGCGCTACTCTTGCTTGTGCTCATAGGCGTTGGTTTGTTTTTATTTTCGAATAAATCCTTTCATTGAAGTGTCCTTATTATTACGAGAACATTGAAGTATGATTTTATTGTTGGTCGATCGCACTCAAGCGATTACATTGTATCGTCGATGAACTAACGTTTCTTACGATCATTGTTGGCTCATCATGTCTTCTGATTACGTTACTACACATGTGATTATTCATCTGAGCTATGTCTCATGCTATAATTGCTATTTGACAATTAACACACTGAAAAAAGTGCTCAAACGTTTCTATATGTATAGTTTCGAATCATCTTGACTGGCGCGACTAACATCGAAGAGAATATTAATGCAAGAAATTGAAATTTATTTCATTCGTACAACTATATATCTAATGTCATTCGACACGTTTGATTGGTCGTTGTCGAGTAAAATCATTCTGGTTTACTTGCATATGATCCCTAATATGAATGACATAATTTCCCAGTTGAACTTTTGTGTCACCTTTTTGAAAAGCGCTCTCAATCTTGGCATTGTCGGCAAGTGAATAAGGTGTCCAAGTTGGTGGTTCGGATTTCGAAAACGGATCCGAAGAGGCATTCCAGAACCATTGAGGATTACCGGACATATGTTCGTCAACAGAGATTAAATCGAAAAAAAACTGAAGAATTGACACGCACCTGACTTGTTTTTTGTTGTTGCTATGTTTGTCGCCTTGTTTGTCAGGAGCAATAGAAAAACTACAATGTGGGTCGTGTCTCAATGTTGCAAGAAAAAGAAAGAAAAGGTAAATGAATGCCTTGCTGCATAATAATTCAACAACAAGATGTTATTTTTTATTTCTTTCTCCTTCTTTCTCGTCGAAAACAAGTAATTCGTTGCAACTTTCTTCCGCGAATGTTGATTTTTTCTTTTATCGTCCCTAAACGCCGACAATGTGAGTCCATTGATGATATACGATGATGGTGTGGGTGTCGGTGTGGAAGTATAGTGTACGAGCGTCGCTGTACTTTTGTTTGAGTAGAGGCGCAACACGAGTATACCCGCAACATTATTTTTATCCACACTCATTAATACATACACCCTATTATAAAGACAAACAATATGAAGGTAATACTAATAATTTCTCTTTGTTCAGCCAGCGCTCGACAAAATAGTCAAAGGAATTCATATTCGTACGCCTACTTATAAAATCAATTCAATGCGCGTGGATGAGATATGAGAAACTGATGAAAATCGATGATTTTTGAGAGTTTTTAAAAGTCAGTGGTTAAAATTATAAAAACAAATGTTTTTATGGTACATGCCATAGATTCTAGTATAGTTCTAATCAGAGACTGAATCGAACCGAAATTCGCTAGTTCAAGCTTGGTTCTTTTCAGGCTGTCTTTGAAAAATTAGTTCGCTTTAATGTCGGCCTCTAGTTCTGAGCACAATGCAGACGGTGATTTTTGTATCCTTCTGGGGTTTACATAATCATGGGATCACAACATTCCAGTTTAATTTCTGCATAATTGCGTTCTAAAGTTATATGTAACAAAAGTTCTTCGAATGTGTAATTAGCTGTTCTCGATTTGCACCCGCCATGTAAACACCGACTTGATTCATGAGGTGTAATGGCGATTCGTTTCCGAATCGTTCCCCGCCACAAGTAAACTAATGTAGGAAGTTTTGCTCTTGCTAAATGTTCGCTATTAAAATGATCCGAGCACTCATAAATTACATTGGACTCCAGTAAACATGTTGAGCTATTAAAAGATGTATCATCAGGATGAATCATGTGTTCTGTAGTTTTCATTTGCTCTTACGTCGCTGTCGTATGATTATCAACACGATTGGATAGTTTAGACATAGTAGTAAGATTAGTTTTAACATGTTTGCTATTGAAATGATTAAAACGATCAACAGCTGTTTTAAATTTTTTCGAGCATTGGAAACAATTAAACAAAGGTTTGGTAGCAATAGCCGTATCATGTTTACCTTTCACTTTTTCTTGCGTCTTTGCTATTTGAGTTTTCAGAACATTTGATGGATCAATATTTGATGATAAAATACTTTTAGCGTGATTGTCAATAAAATGAGATATTTGACTGCTATGAGATTTGAATTTCTTTGTGCATTCCCAACATTCGTGGTTTGATGCGACATTCATTGTAGGTAGAAATAATTCAGAATGACTCGTCATAAAGTTCTGTAAGCGCTTTCGAGTAGACTCCTATGTTCTATGGTACTCATTTGATTCTTCTTCATTATTGACTTACCACTCATAGGCAAATAAAATCTAGTTTGTTGCAGAGGTGTGCACCGCACCTAAAAATCGACCAACGGCGGCGGAAAATAGGAGTCATACTTTCAAAAAGTGACGGCGGTACACTCTAGAAAAAAAGGGTTTTGTCGGAAACCTATAGAGGGTTTCCGGGTCTGCCACTATATGAAACCCTTTATAGGTTTCCGAGAAAGGGTTTTCGAGCTCTCGGAAACCTTCAAAAGCAATGAAAAAAGCTCACGATCTCGGAAACCTATTGAAGGTTTTCAAGACTTCGAAAACCTTCAATAGGTTTCCGGCAGCTACGCACTACCCTTATTCTATCCCCTTATTCTAATCCCTTAATATATTCCCTTATTC